GCTGCGTGCAATGGCACAAATCTTGGGGGATTACAGGCATGCGCCACCACGCCTGGCTGATTTTGTATTTTTTAGTAGAGACAGGGTTTTTCCATGTTGGCCAGGCTGGTTTTGAACTCCCGACCTCAGGTGATCTGCCTGCCTTGACCTCCCAAAGTTGCTGGGATTACAGGCGTGAGTGACCACGCTCGGCTGGAAATTCTTTTAAAATTAGTGGCTGTGTTAAAATTTTTGAAGCTTGGCTGGGTGCGGTGGCTAACGCCTGTAATCCCAGCACTTTGGGAGACTGAGGTGGGTGGATCACGAGGTTAAGAGATTGAGACCACCCCGGCCAGCCTGGTGAAACCCCGTCTCTACTAAAAACACAAAAATTAGCTGGGCATGGTGACGTGCACCTGTAGTCCCAGCTACTCGGGAGGCTGAGGCAGGAGAATCGCTTGAACATGGGAGGCGGAGGTTGCAGTGAACTGAGATCAAGTCACTGCACTCCAGCTTGGGCCACAGAGCGAGACTCCGTCTCAAAAAAACAAAAAAACAAAAAACAAAAAAAACAAAAACAATTGAAGCTTATTTTTATCTCCGCAAGGTGTTGCCAATGAGAAATAAAAGAGGAATTAAAAGGTTTAGGGCATATTTATAAATAACAGGAGTCAACATAGCTTCTAAGAGATGTCAAGAAATACCTTACCAATGTCAAGGACAATCATTCATGCTTTTTTGTTTATGTCACTTCCCATATTTGGAAACAGAATTTTAGGGTGATGAACTGTGAGGTCTGACTCAGGCTGCTTGCTCATATTTGAAGGGATTTGATTAAAAAGGTAGTAAACAAAGTGATCGTACAGGAAGCTAATCTCACCAGCTATGTGAAAATCAAACTTAATGCTTTGTAGTCACATCTCATACTCTCAGCCTCAGAGGAAAAAAGCCAAGAAAATAATCTTCCACAGTTGTATTTATTCTACACTGCCTACAGAAATAGTTTACGTGTACATACAATCAAACTTTTATATAATTGCTGCAAAGGTCATTTATGTAGGCCACCCGAGGGCAAGGACTGTGTTATAATTTATCTTTTTCAGAATTAAACAAGCTGCCCAAGGCCATGGAAGTGAGTTAGACTTAGCTGTTTGCTAGGTCTACAGTTTGTGTTTTATTTTAGGCACTGTGGCTGGCTAATAATTTCCCTGACTTTAACCATAGTTAATCATCTCTTTTTCTTCTCTCTCTTTCTTTCTTTTTTTGTTTTTTTAAGAGACAGGGTCTCACTCTGTCACCCAGGATGGAGTGCAGTGGTGCCATCATAGCTCACTGTAGCCTTTAACTCCTGGGCTCAAGTGATCCTCCCCACCTCAGCCTCCTGAGTAGCAGGGACTACAGGCATGCACCTCCGTGTCTGGCTGTATTTTTATTTTTATTTGTAGAGATGGGGTCTCGCTACATTGCCCAGGCTGGTCTTGAACTCCTGGCCTCAACTGATCTTTCCACCTCGGCCTCCCAAAGTGTGGGGATTACAAGTGTGAGCCACTACACCTGGCCTCTTATTCTTAAAATACTTGCTTCATTTGAGTTTTAGGTTACCAAGCTTTCCTGGTTTTCTGTCTCACTGATCACTTCTTAATCTCCTCCTCATTTTTGTAAACTCCTAATGTGGGAGAGCCCTTAGACTCAGTCTTTGAACTTTTTATCTTCTTTAGTTATACTCATACTTTGGTAGTCTTACCTGTCTCATGGTGTTACCATGATGACTGTTAGATCTCTAGACTTGTATATTTAGCTGTCTATTTGACATGTCTACTTGTTTTTTTTTGTTTTTGTTTTTGTTGTTGTTTTTTTTTTTTAGATGGAGTCTCGCTCTGTTGCCCAGGCTGGAGTGCAGTGGCGCGATCTCTGCTCATTGCAATCTCTGCCTCCCGGGCTCAAGTAATTCTCCTGCCTCAGTCTCAAGCGATTCTCCTGCCTCAACCTCCTGAGTAGCTTAGGATTACAGGCCATGCACCACCATACCCGACTAATTTTTGTATTCTTAGGAGAGACGGGGTTTCATCATGTTGGCTAGGCTGGTTCTGAACTCCTGACCTCAAATGATCTGCCAGCCTTGGCCTCTCAAAGTGTTGGGATTACAGGCCTGAGCCACCGCGCCTGGCCAGGACATGACCACGTGGATGTGCTTCCCCTGGTGTTTTTCCCATCTCAGTAAGTGGCAACTCCATCTTTCCAGTTGCTCAAGCCCCAAATCATGGCATCACCCTTGATTCCTCTTTTTCATTCTTCACTCATACCGCCTATTCAGTCCAATCCTTTGACAGACCATGTGGCTCTCTCCCTTCGAAGTATTTCAGAATCCACCACTTCTCAACTCCTCTACCACTATCATCTGGTCCAAGATATCATTTTACCTCACTTGGATTATTGCAAAAACCTAGCTAGTCTCCCTGCTGCTACCCTTGTCTTCTAGGGGTCTGTTCTCAATACAGTATTCAGAGCATTCCTTTGGAAATGTCAGCTCATTTCAATCCTCTGCTCAGAACCTTCCATTGACTTCACATCTTACTTAGAGTAAAAGCCAAAGTTCTGAAACTGGCCTATAAAGCCTTGTGCAGTCCATATATAAGACTAGAGGTTTATAGTAAAATAGTGCTTCTACTTTGGTGAGAGTTCTTAACACAATCTTTGCTGCATAATCTTTCTCATATCAAATGCAGATATTTTCTGTACTGGGTTCAAGGCCTGTACTTACACAGTAAACCATAATGTGGATTATCATGCAGTAATTTAATTGTTCTCTTTAGTGTTATATTTTGATCTGTAGCCTTAAGAATCATTTTTTTTTTTCATGGCTATAAAGCTAAAGAGAATTAAAAACAAACAATAAAAAACAAAAAAAATATAAGTTTAAAAATTTATAGTTGTTTTAAAATGTGTTCTGGGCCGGGCACTGTGGCTTACGCCCGTAATCCCAGCACTTTGGGAGGCCGAGGCGGGCGGATCACCTGAGGTCAGGAGTTCCAGACCAGCCTGGCCAACATGGTGAAACCCCATCTCTACTAAAAATACAAAAATTAGTCAGACGTGGTGGCGGACGCCTGTAATCCCAGCTACTCGGGAGGCTGAGACACGGGAATTGCTTGAACCTGGGAGGCGGAGGTTGCAGTGAGCCGAGATCATGCCACTGCACTCCAGCCTGGGCGAAAGAGTGAGACTCCATCTCAAAATAAGAGACTCTGTCTTAAAATAAAATAAAACAATAAAATAAAATAAAGTTTTTTGGCTTTAAATATAATTTATTCATTCTAGAAACACTTACACGGACATATTATGTACCAGGCACTCGGGTTACAAAAACGAATAGAAAGAGCTGCACATCAGTAATTTTCCCAACTGTGAGTGAATGGTTTTATTATGCATACACATGTATAGACAATTCCATAACGATTGCCTATTATTCATTACACAGAAGCCAGGGCATAAATTGTATGCTGAGTAAGTAAATCAAAAGGGAGGCATCACTGTTTCTCCTTTTGATTTTTCTCCTATGTTTCCTTTATTCCTTTTTACATTTTGAGTAGTAAAAGAGTCTCCACATCCCTGACTGGCGTTTGCTAGCTGTATCACTCCTCTCTGATTTCAGACTTCTTTAGTTTGTTTCCATCTTCTGTTTTTAATAGTTTTTTTTCAGACAAAAAGGTCATGTAGATGATATTTTCAGTATCTTTCATTTCTAAGCATGCTGCTTTATACACAGTAGGCCCTCAAATCTCTGGGTGCTTATAAATATGATTTTTGCTTCATCTAATTCTCTAACCATGCAGTTAAGGTTACAGGATGTGTTACTTAGTATATTAAAAAAGAATGATATGAAATATGAAAAACAAAGCCATTTGCTGACAGAAGGTTTTTTTTTTTTTTTTTCCTCTTTCTACCTTTAGACACAGGGAAAGTTCCTAAGTTTTGAATTTGGGGTAGTATATTGAGTCTCATTTGAGTGTTGAGGACATTTGGATACAAAAGAATTTTAAATCATAAAGAGTTTTAAATGTAGAATATAATGGAAAGCCTATTTTTTTGGCCTATTACATGCCTGAATAGCCATGAATTGGAAATTTTACAATGTCAGTTTCATATAAAAATTCTCTTCCCTTCTCTTTTTTCTTTTATTAGCTATAAGCATTCAGATGAGAACCCTGTCACTTGTAATGGACCCCCTGTGGAAATTCCTGGAGAATATACGGATAAGTTGAATGTGACTTACACTTATTCTGTGAGATTGAAGTAAGTACTTCATGCCATCATCTTAATTCTTTTCCAAAGCAAGTATATAAATATCATGTACATAATATTAAATAGTACGTTTTTCTTAATTTAAAGTTGTATAACACAGCTAAGAACCCAAGAAAGCACGTAAATTCTTTCTGTTCCAACAATTTAATGGACAGTCATTACAGGAATTACTGTATTAAATCTACTACATTTCAGATACTGTGCCAGCTACTTTACTTTCTCTTACTTCATATTAAAAGTTTGAAGTTTGAAAGAGGTACATGGGGAACAAGAGGGACATCTTCTGGGGTTGGCACTCTGGCTGGCTGCTCAAGTGGGACCTTAGAGGAAGAATATCACATGGAAGAGACACAGTGTAGCATAAAGAATGCAGACAATGGCAGACTGACCTGTGATTCAAATTGCACCTTTGCCACTTACTAGCTGTGTGAGCTTAGGTAAGTCACATGATGTCTGAGTCTTGATTTCTTCTCATGTCATTTACTTCTCATTTTCAGAATATGTAAAGCCCTTAGCATAGTACCTGACACAGAGTAGGTTCCCAATACATGGCATTCACCATTGTTTGTATGTCTTGACTTTTTTCTTTCACAAATAATTTTTCTTTTTACAAAGATTGTGTGTAGTTTTGGTTAAAAAAAAAGATATAGATAGATATACTATAAACATTAGAAATAGATATATATACTATAAACATTCTAGTGAATATTCTGTGATGGCTGTGTTTCACAATGGGTTTTTTGTTAACCAGTTGTCTCCTATTATATTTATTTTGCTTGGTATTTTATTTTTATTTCTTATTTTTGAGACAAAGTCTTGCTCTGTCACCCAGGCTGGAGTGCAGTGGTGAGATCTCGGCTCACTGCAACCTCCGCCTCCATTCAAGCAATCCTGCCTCAGTCTCCCAAGTAGCTGGGATTACAGGTGTGCACCACCATGCCCGGCTAAGTTTTGTATTTTTGGTAGAGACAGAGTTTCACCAAGTTGGCCAGGCTGGTCTCGAACTCTTGACCTCAGGTGACCCACTCACCTTGGCCTCCCAAAGTGCTGGGATTACAGGCATGAGCCACTGCGCCTGGCCAGAAGTGACATATTAAAAGATGATATTCATGACACTCTAGTGCTTTACTTGCCCCCGGACCAGATGTTTGTGTTCGTGTGTCAGGGACTCTTAGCCCTGGACTGTATTAGTGGTGCTTCACCAAAGGACTGATTTTAGGCTGTTCTTTTAATAGGGAAAACCTTTTATGACTATGTAGATCTACGTATTTCCATTTTTAGTCTTTTTAAGACTGTGTATCGTATATATATATGTATGCGTATATATATGTATGTGTGTATATATATGTGTGTATATGTGTGTGTGTGTGTGTGTGTGTATATATTTTGAGACCGAGTCTCGCTCTGTTGCCCAGGCTGGAGTGCAATGGCACGATCTCGGCTCACTGCAACCTTCCGGGTTCAATGATTCTCCTGCCTCTGCTTCCCAAGTAGCTGAGATTACATGCACCTGCCACCACACCCGGCTAATTTTTGTATTTCTTTTAGTAGAAATGGGGTTTCACCATGCTGGCCAGGCTGGTCTCGAACTCCTGACCTCAGGCGATCCGCCCGCCTCGGCCTCCCAAAGTGCTGGGATTACAGGCGTGAGCCACTGTGCCCAGCTGTATATCATATTTCTGATTCAGCTTTTGTTATACTCAGTTTCATCTAAGGCTTATTTTTTATAGCTTCAGATATTCTTTCCTGAGACCAAATCCTAATCACCGTATTTGGGGCTAGGTCTCAAATCTCGAACATTTACAAATTATGCTTGGTTTGTGTCATTTCTGTAGATGGCCTGACAGCCATTATAAAATGATTCTTCCTAATCTCATTCTGAAAGCAATTCCACATTAGGAATACCTCGCTTTTGTCCCTATGTATCACCTTTAGTGGTTATCTCCATTTTATAAATGAGGCTACTGAAGCCCAGCAAGCTAAAGTAATTTTCTCAGGATCACAGCTAGCAGGTGGTGCAAGTGATATTCAAACCCAGGTCTGTCTGGCCCCCAAACTCATAGTTTTTCTACTATACCATTCTGGCTTTCTATCTTGAGGGTCTATTATATTTTCTGCCTACAGAGTCACTGTAAAGAAAATGAGAACCATTTATGTTAGAAATGTGTGTGTGTGCCTTGAATCATTTAGCTAGAGGTCAGGATTACTTGATCCTACATCCTGCAGTTTACCCAAAGTACAATTGGTGAAAACAGGCAATTTACTAGTCCAATAAATATGGTCCAGTCTTCTAATCTTTGGATGAAATACAGAAGTGTAATCTGAGGAAAGAAATGAAATGCACTCTGAAGGGGCCAGGCATTGTGGCTCATATCTGTAATCCCAGCACTTTGGGAAGCAGAGGCGGGTGGATCACCTGAGGTCAGGGGTTCGAGACCAGCCTGACCAACATGGTGAAACCCCATCTCTACTTAAAATATAAAAATTAGCCGGGCATGGTAGCGCATGCCTGTAGTCCCAGCTACTCGGGAGGTTGAGGCAGGAGAATCGCTAGAACCTGGGAGACAGAGTTTGCAGTGAGCCGAGATCATGCCATTGCACTCCAGCCTGGGTGACAGAGTGAGACTCTGTCTCAAAAAAAAAAAAAAAAAAAAAAAAAGCCATACCAAATGGGAAAATGTGGAAAATCCCCTTATTTCAGGTTAGGTCTCAACCCCTTGTTCCTCAACAGTAAGTCTAATCCTGGAAACAGTTCCAGAAGAGGAAATTTTCTTTTCCCATTGAAACTTATTTAGTGTACCTAGAAGGCCCTTGGCTTCCAGAGGTGTGACACTGGAAAGATCCAGACACAGTTGAATTAGAATCTTGGCTCTACCATTTACTGCTGTATGAACTTGGTTAAGTTACTTTGAGCCTGTCTTTCCAAATTTGTAAAATGGAGCTAAAATATTCACCCCATGTGATTGCTGTCAGGGTGAAGTGAGCTAACACGAAATATTTAGCACAGTGCCTGGCAAGTAGTACACATATAATGTTTCCTATTCCTCCTTCTCTCCAATATAGGTTCTCCCAGACGTAGGGGGCAGTTGATTTATAAATGTCTCATACAACAATAGCTCATGCATGCAGAGAGATGATGATGCAGTGAGAACATACCAAGCCATGATATTCTTTATCTGAGTGCCAAAACGTGGCTGTTATAGTTGGGGGGAGGGTGCAAGGGAGAGTAATGACATGTATCTCTGATAGCGCTCTTTCTTTATTTTCTTGTCTTGGTTTGAAAAATGCTTTATTTTTGTTTTTGATTCACAAGTTTTATTCAGGAAGTCATACAAGTGAATTTTTTTTTTTTTTTTTTGTGACGGAGTCTCACTCTGTCACCCAGGCTGGAGTGCAGTGGTTGGGCTCACTGCAACCTCCTCCTGGGTTCAAGTGATTTTCCTGCTTTAGCCTCCCAAGTAGCTGGGATTATAGGCATCCCCCACCACCCCCAGCTAATTTTTGTATTTTTAGTAGACACAGAGTTTCATCACGTTAGCCAGGATGGTCTCGATTTCCTGACCTCGTGATCTGCCTGTCTCGGCCTCCCAAAGTGCTGGGATTACAGGCGTGAGCCACTGCGCCCGGCCCAGATAAGTGAATTTTAATCCTCATCTTCCTCCTCTTCTGCATCCTGGTTAATTTGGGAGTAATGTAACTCCTAACTCTCTGCTGTTAGCAACTATCTGCAACTAATCAAGCAGGTGATTCTTCTTCAGATATTTTTTGGTGAGATATTTCAAATATCTTTTGGTAAAAAGCACCTCAGAAGTCACAGTAATCTTGCTCTTGCTCATTTTGATGGTCATACCCCCTCCACCAAGACTCTCAGCTTTTCTGCTCACTTTGATCCTTTCCTGCAAAAATTGCACAAAATTGGCAGCATCACGATTCCATCTTCTACAGAGTGGGTGCAATCAAGAGCGAACTTCAGAACCTGCTGCTGCTTCTTTTTTTTTTTATCCTCCTTCGCCACAAGCTTCTTTATGGGCATCATGGCGGCAGTAGAGGCAGAAAGGGAGGTGGGTGAACTACGCAGGCCGGAAAAATGCTTTTTTTTAAAAAAAAAATTATAATGGTGCACATCAACATTTCCCAAAGTGCATTATGTAGAACACTAGGCTAGTCAAATAAGTTTGGAAAATGCTACTTTCTACTGCCTCCTTTCTCAGCTTTACGAAATATATTAGTAAAGTGTTTAAAAGTCTCCTAATCTCATTCATAATAAAGAAATGTCTTGACTGAGCCTAACTCAGCATTTTACAAACGTATTTGACTTTGGAGTTCCCTCCCTCCCTCCCTCCCTTCCTTCCTTCTTTCCTTCCTTTCCTTTTTTTTTTTTTTTTTGACAGAGTATTGCTCTGTTGCCCAGGCTGGAGCGCAGTGGTGCGATCTCGCCTGGTTGCAACCTCTGCCTCCTGGGTTCCAGCGATTCTCCTGCCTCAGCCTCCCGAGTAGCTGGCTGGGATTACAGGTGTGATCAAACATGCCTGGCTAATTTTTGTATTTTTAGTAGAGACAGGGTTTCACTATGTTGGCCAGGCTGGTCTCAAACTCCTGAGCTCAGGTGATCCACCCACCTCGGCCTCCCAAGTAGTTGGTATTACAGGCATGAGCCACCATGCCTGGCTTTTTTTTTCCCCTGTATTTTTAGTAGAGATGGGCTTTTGCCATTTTGGCTAGGCTGGTCTTAAACTCCTGGTCTTAAGTGATTCACCTACCCCGCTTTCCCAAAGTGCTGGGATTACAGGCATGAGCCACTGTGCCTGGCCTGGAGTACTCTCTTAGGGTAGCATTTAGATCCTATTGTGGATGCCATTTTGGCTACCCCAGGTACCCACAGTGGTTGTGTCTTAGAGTAGCTCACAAAATCCTACAGAACCTGCAACATACCTCAAACGTTCAGTGTACAAATGAGAAGCAAAGCTTCGTATCTTGGTAACTATCAGTAT